CGAACTGTATTTTAGATTATCGAATATGTTATGGAGTAGAATCGGAATCCGACGAGGAGCAAGGGATGAATGGCGGTGTGCGTGATGAAGTGAATATCTGTGAGCTCGCTGACAACAATATGAATGGTTTATTGTGTTTATTTTCCAACAGCATAATCGCTGAGACCTGACAAGAACCCTTTCCCGCTTACCCTTTTCTTCAATCCCCCGATACTGCACTTTTTTCTTTGAGGAGAATGTGCTTGAAATTACCTCGACTGACAATACCATCAGCAATTCCTCGTTCGGAGCGTAGACCAGAAGCAGTACAATGACGGCTTTGATTCCTGGCACGTCCCAGTCTCAGCTTAACTTTGCGCCAAATTGGTGATTCAGCTAATGCGGTTTCCAGGAACTCGGTAATGCAGTAAGTACATTCTGCTAGGAATCATATTTCAGAGTTCTGTTTCTCGGACAGTTTTTTCGACGTCAACCACATGGACGTGCTCTCAACTCATGAATTGAAATAGCTTATTTTAACGGTTCTCATATTTGCCCCGACTGGCTCGAAGTTGTGACTGACGACACTGCGTACATATATACTGGATTTTTGTGCCCACTACGTACACATCTGTTGAATAAGAGACAACAAACTATGTTCCACAGCATTCCTGCGAGCGAAAAGACTGAAAAGTTCGGAAAAGTCTTGCCATGGTCGGATCCTTACTTTCGTCAGCGGTCGTTCCATCGTAACGAACATCCTTGCCACTAAACAACTCGTATCGTTCCCGTCTTTGCTAGAACCAAAGCTTTTCACCAAGCGTTACTGGTTTCTTTGCTTTCTCTCACTGTCAAAAGGAGGTGCCCCAAAACAAAGTCCGTTTTGCAGTCTTCTTTGCGGGAGAACGATGTATCACAAGTCCGTCCTATCTTAACATGTTAAGCATTATATGCTTGTAAATATATTGTACAAATGCTCGTCCTTGTCACTCTTGTATATAAAGAACTGGTGCTGTCATTATCATGAAGTGTAAAAATGTCATTATCATGAAGTATAAAAAATGTGATGTTTTTGACTCGAAACATTGTGAACAGCAGTGCAATTACATTGCTAGGAAGAGAGTATCCAGTTTCCGCTTAGTTTTACTGAATGCCCTGGGGATTACCCAGGACGCAGCAGTAGCACGGCGATTTTCAGTCATGCTACTTCTCAAGACAGAATCGCTCGGCTGCTTTCTCACTCTAAAATCCTACTGGGACAAGAAAAAGTGACGGCAAACCCACGTACGGTTACGCTTCCCTCACAACTCTTCTTTCAACTCCAAAGATGTGGCCGAAGCGAGCGGAGTTTTGATAACTGCCAGGACAGAGAGAGAGAGAGAGAAATGTATCATTTAGCGAAACATGTCTTATGTCAGCGAGGCTTTTGCACATTTTGCAATACAGTATACTATTCGGGAAGCCACACCACTGTATTTACAATGATTTATGGAGTAATATTTCTATGGGAATACACTTTTACGCAAAATACAGAAATAAAACTTTGTTTTTGTTCCTCGCGCATTTCTAAGTTGGCACGTATGAGTACAAATTCCAAATCTTTAATGACAGTATCCAAAAAAAAACTCACACATTCTTGTAACGGTAGTGTCGGACACAATCCGAACTGTTCGATTTCAATAACATACATATTTCTATAACTGGAAACCTACCAAATTATCTACTAAAATATATCACAAAAATTATCAAGTTATTTCACTCAGAAAACAGAGATAAAAGACAGTGAAGGTTCTTCTAAGAACACATTCTCGCGAACAGCGGTATCAACCGGAAGAGAAAATACCGATAATAATTTTAGCAGGAAGTTATTTTTATGCGTTTTTTGCATCCATGCAATGCAAGAACGCATACTGTTGAGGGATTGTCTGTATGTTCATCTGTGCCGATTTTTCATTTCGTGACCTACAAAAATTACCAGGCTGAAACTTTGAAATTTAATCTACATGCCTGTACATACTCCTGTCCCCAAAATGGGTGCTCTTGCCCATGTAGTTCCCACACACGGGTTCGCGAAAATCTTTCACGGATAAGTTGCTAAGTCGAGAAACTGAAAAACTAGAAAGCTGAAATTTCAAGGGATGTCCCCCGCCCACACAGGACTTAGTGAATTTGTTTTCACATAGGGGTGAAAATTTTTTGTACGTAGTTCTCACATACGGCTTTTTTTTTTGTATGCGGTTCCCACATACAAAAAAAACCCGTACGTGGGAGAAATTTTTGTGCGGGCAAATTGCCAACTCAGGAACTTGAAAAGCTAGAAAGCTGGAATTTTAAGAGGATGTCCCCCATCTTAATGATTTCGGACCCAGCCTCCAAGTGTGCGTAGCCCCCACGCACTGGCTCGTGAAAATTTTCGACAGGTAAGTAGGTAACTCGGGAATCAGGAAAGTTAGGACACTAAAAAGGGAATGCTTTCTCACAGACGTGGTGGCCAGTCTCAATTCCTTTAGCTAGAAGCATCTGCCGGGAAAAAAAACGCATCTTCGCACGTGCAGTCGGTGCATTGGCCAATTACTTCTCTTGGTTTAAAATTTAAATTTGAACTGTTCAGTACAATCTAGTGTTCCAGCTAAATTTTTTCTCTTTCCTAAAACTACAATTTGGTGCCACTAAATTTATCATCGATGCGAACAAATGAGATCAGATAACAATATCCCAAGCTATCGATTCAACAGCGGATCCAGAAATCCGTGGTCAATCCATAGGCAAATACATAAGTGATCACAGGGACAATTATTCACTATCCAGAGCGTTATCAGCTGGAAGCACGTCCGGAAGCGGCTCACGCACGCAAAACACCTGTAATGAACCAACAACTTGAATTCAAAACCTTTGTCAACACAAATAAACTGGAATCCTATCAAAGAACGCAAGACTCCCAGGTCTTTTTAACTAATATTCCTGGCTGAAGCCCGTACAAAAAGGAAATAATTGGCCAACGCACGGGCTGCCGGTGCGAAGATGCGTTTTTTGCATAGCTCCCCGCAGATTTTTGTCGCCAACGGCACTGGTTTTTTTGGCAGATGCTTCTTGCTAAAAGAATTGCAGACTGGCCGCCAGGACTGTCAGGAAACATCCCTTCAAAATCCCAGTCTTCTAGCTTTTCACTTTTCCGACTTAGCAACTTACCCGGAAGGAACTTTCAAGGGCCCGTAAGTAGGTACCACGCTTACCTGCGGGCAGGGTTTGAACTCGTTAATACCTACTTGGACGAGGAACAACGCCCTAAGATTTCAGCGTTCTAGCTTCTCAGGTCCCCGAGTTATGAACATACCCGAAAAAAATTTGGCGGGTCCGTGCGCGGATACCACGCGGGTGTTGGCGTCCATTTTGCGGATTGGGGACGGCACGTGCATGTAGATTAAGTTCCCGAAATTTCAGCCCCGCAGCTTTTATAGGTCTTGAGATGA